AAACTTTAAGCATGGTAGTAATAGTCTACCTGGCTCTCCCTAAATCACAATTACAGTTCAGGCACATCAAAACAGACATTTTAAAAAATAGATATATACCATGGTCTGGGGGCACATGCCTTTAATCGACAATTTGGGAGTCAAAGAAAGGTGGATCTCTGTCAGTTTGAGGCCAGCCTGTCAATACAGTGAGTTTCAGGGCTGGCTACAGAACTCATGGGAAATCTATCCCAAAAAGGAAAAAAAAAAAAAGATAAACACTTGTATCAAACACACACATACACCAACACACACAAAATGAAAGTGGTTAAGACATTGATATTTTCAAATTGACTAAAATAAATGCTTTATTTTAAGCCTAAAATACATTTTAATATTCAAATAAGATTTCAAGGAAGAAAATCTGAAACAGTGTATAGCTAGTGTAGAAGCTATAAAGTTTATCTAAAAGTATTATTTAATTTTTTTGTTTTTTATTTGACAGGTGTGGGTGCCTTGCCTGCATGTATATGTGCATACTATATACATCCAGTGTACTTGAAGGATACAATAGTGCTTCAGATACCTTAAGCAGGAGGTGAGAAGGGTTGTGAGCTACAACTCCAGTGCTGGAAATCAAACCCAGGGCGTCTGAGAGAGCAGCCAGTGCTCTTAAACTGGAAGTCATTTTCCAGCCTATTTGGTTGGTGGAGACAAGATCTGCTTATATAGCCCACACTGAGTTTGAATTTACATACCTTCTGCCTCAGCCTGCCAAAAATTCTAGGATCACATGCACCATCGAAAGTTAACAATGACAGTGTTAATGCTCAATAGAAGTGTACAGTATTAATTACTTGATATCACACATTAGAAGAGTTCTAGACTTCTTCTAATAAAACCAAGTAACTAGTTGTGGATACATGGGTAGAATTCAATTTCTAATACTTACTTCAGGGTCACTTTTTCTGTTATTCTTCATGGTTGTCATTTCTGAGGATTCTGGCTCATCTAGACAGAAAAATTGAACCGGGAAAAATTAATGAATTCTCTCTTTATTCCCAGACTGTTTCCAGATCCAAATGACACTGACATGTACACTCATCTAGCTGTGACAGGGAACACTTGACACGAATACACTAGTATTATATATTAGGTCCCCAAGGCGGCATGAGACCTGTGAAAATTTCAGTAGAACAGACATTCTGTTGAAATGTGTTGGTGACCTTTCCAGCTGCCTCCTAGTCCATCTTGCTGGGGCAGCCCAGTTGAAAAACTCAGAATGCAGCATGCACTTCCTATCTTTTCTGTGTGCCCTCCTTTCCCTCAGTGCATAATATGTGCTTGTATGAAAGTACCCTTATAACAAATATACAATGAAAATATAAATTTCAGAAATTTATTCTTTCTTTATGTTACTTGCTTTAATTCCTACAGTAGATAACACATATTTCCCAGCTTCAGTGGTTAGTGAGTGAATGTTGAAGAGTTCCTGACAGATTCAATCTACTAAATATGATGATTAAATATGGTAACTAATTAAGAACAAGAACACAAATTATTTTACTGGTATTTGTTTACATGGCCATTGACGATTGGCAGCCTAATATCCTTGACTGTTAAACAGAATATATGTAAATGGATTAAAGACAATGAGAAGTTATCTATGGAAAACAGCAAAGTTGGTATTATAGCAAGATACAGTCAACCCTTACTCTGGTCCCAAAACTAACCTTCACCACATATATTGGATGACATGCCTGAAATATGAGACAACAAGAAAGGTCTGGAGAGATGGTTCAGTGCTTAGGAGTACTGGCTGCTCTTCCACAGGACCTGTGCTTAATTCTCCACAACCACACAGCATCACAACCAACTGTAACTCTACTTCCACAGGTTCTGATGCCCTGTTCTGTCTTTCTCAGGTATCAGGCATGCATGAGACCCACAGAAATAAATACCATACACATAGCATAAAATCATACAAAATTGTTGTGAAAAATTCAATGAGAAATGCAAACACAGGAAATATAAAAGGAGATTTGGCCCTAAGAGCAATTGGGGATAGTAATTTTATTAGCCATTGTTTCAATTCCCAGTCCTCTAGGGACTGGACACATGCTTACACACGCACTCGCGCGCACGCACATGCGCGCGCGCACACACACACACACACACACAGAGAGAGAGACAGAGAGACAGACAGAGAGACAGACAGAGACAGACAGAGAGACAGACAGAGACAGACAGACAGAGAGAGAGAGCATCTCTTACCCACTTCAAGCAAAGGAGGCATATACTTTCTGGGTTGTTCTTGTCCACGGAGTCTACCAGACTTAGAATGATGTCTAGATTGCCTTTTTAGAGCAGCATCAGAATATGGTTGGCCTAGAACAAATTTTTAGAATATCTTCATAAGGATAAAAATAAGTCTAGTCTACTTGTGCTTATACTGACTTAGACATTTCCTGTGCACCCAGAATTAAAAACAAAAGCTGTCACCTGTTATTGTTGGCACTAGTCAACCATTTGAGAGAGGGTACATTTCCTTTCCTTTGTATTCAAGAAGCATACTTCAACACAGTTACAGCACATATGTAATTCTACACATGAAATGCTGAAACAATATAACTAAAAATATGTGAAAGAATTCAGTTAAATTCAGTTCACCTTCAAATTCATAATAGTACCCCAAGAGAACAACATCAACATGCCAAAAACAAATTGCTGAGACGAAGATGCAAAGCAAGAAGGAAAAACAGAGAAAGAAATTCTGCTCATCAGTTACATTGGTCATCTCAGCTGGCAGTAATCCAGAACTGTCTTCAGTTTGACAATTTTCCCTACCTTCAGAATTTTGGGGTGTTAGTCTAAACTGAAGGAAGGATCTGACTTAAGGGATGAGGAGTCACAGCTCAGATGAAGGACATCTTCACATACACAGGTTTATACTTAAACATGGGATTGCTTAAACCTAAGGATGGAGTAGGGAAACTGCAAGCTTAACTCATCCTTAATCAGATCTCAAGAAACCACATTAGTATTTTGCTTCTAATGTTCATCAAAATTTCTGAAACTCAGAGTTTACTCTTTCACAAAATGCACATATTTTTCCCAGTACTGAAAAAAACATGTAGACCCTTCATTAGATGCAGGGTGTATCTTCCAGCAATACTAAGCAGTAAGTTGATCTCAATATCTTCCATGCTCTCAGAGATTCATGGTAATAGAAGAGTAGAGGTAAGGGCAGAGAGCAGACACCTAAGATAACTGACAGCATGATTCACTGTGCAGAAACTTGTGATTCCAAGGGGTAAACTATGCAGTGAAAACAACAGAATACTTTTGTTTTAAAATGTAAGGGTTTGGAGGAATAACAATAAGTTCAACAAATACATAAATATGATCTTACATTTTAAATATGATCATGTGGGAACTGTTTATGAGAAATACTTTAAGACACTTTAGTCAGTAATCTTTATGACAAAAATAGAAGCAATTACTTTAAATAATAGGCACAATACAATCTATGAAATGAAATACACATAATTTCAATCTTAAAAATGCTGGTAGCTGAGCATTGGTGGCACATGCCTTCAATCCCAGCACTTCGGAATCAGAGTCAGGTAGATCTCTTCGAGTTTAAGACCAGCCTGGTCTACAGAGTAAGAGTTCCAGGACAGGCAACAAATTTATAGAGAAACCCTGCCTTGGGAAGATTAAACAAAACAAAACAAAACAAAAACAAAAACATGTTTGTAAATTTGCTTAATTTCTGACCTACACATTACAGTTAAAATTCAAAAATAACTAAGCATTGGCTTCCTTTATGCTGGACTGTAAACTGTGAGCCATATACTCTTTCCGCCTCAGGTTGGTTCTGGTCTGTGTTTATCACAGCAATAAGAAAAGCACAGATATATGTTGACACATATATGGGCTTTTTAAAAAAGCCTACCTGGGTATGGCAGGAAGGGTGGCCCAGCGAAGTCCCTCTGAGAAAAATAATCTGGAGGACCTGCAGGTGGGAAGGGTGGGCCAGCGAAATCCCTTGATGTAAAATAACCTGGAGGCCCTGCATGCATGTTTCCTGGAGGAGGTGGAGGAAATGGGGGTGGCCTACTCATAACAGGGCTTCTTGCATCCCCTGCAAAGAGAGGGCCTCTGGGGCCTCTATCCTGGGGAAACGGTGGAGAGATGAAGCCATTGCCAGCTGCCTCAAATTCAGGAGGAGGAGTGTTGGGCAGAGTTGACTTCTGTAAGAGAGTGACAATCAGCAGTCAGTAAAACTACTTGATGACCAGCTCCTTTCCTGGGAGTGTCAGGCATAGAAAAAAGCAGTCCATGACATTACACAAGGCCTGGGAACAGGCTCATTTTCCACAGCAGTATAGGAGCAGCTTATTTGCTATCCTAAGTATTTTTACTAACTCAGCAGAAACTTTAAGCATGGTAGTAATTGTCTACCCGGCTCTCCCTAAATCACAATTACAGTTCAGGCACATCAAAACAGACATTTTAAAAAATAGATATAAACCAGGATCTGGGGGCACATGCCTTTAATAGAGAATTTGGGAGTCAGAGGAAGCTGGATCTCTGTCAATTTGAGGCCAGCCTGTCAATACAGTGAGTTTCAGGGCTGGCTACAGAGCTCATGGGAAACCTATGCCCAAAAGGAAAAAAGAAAAGGATAAACACTTGTATCAAACACACACATACACCAACACACACAAAATGAAAGTGGTTAAGACATTGATATTTTCAAAATGATCAAAATAAATGCTATATTTTAAGCCTAAAATACATTTTAATATTCAAATAAGATTTCAAGGAAGAAAATCTGAAACAGTTCATCTAAAAGTTGTTCTTATTTAAGTTTTTCTTATTTGTTTTTTATTTGACATATATAGGTGTTTTGCCTGCATGTATATCTGCATACTATACACATCCAGTGTACTTGAAGGATACAATAGAGCTTCAGATACCTTAACCAGGAGGTAAGAAATGTTGTGAGCTACAACTCCAGTGCTGGGTATCAAACACAGGGCGTCTGGGAGAGCAGCCAGTGCTCTTAAACTGGAAGTCATTTTCCAGCCTATTTGGTTGGTGGAGACAAGATCTGCTTATATAGCCCACACTGAGTTTGAATTTACAATCCTTCTATCTCAGCCTGCAAAAAATGCTAGGATTACATGCACCATCAAAACCTGCATGTGATCTGTACTATTTCACAGAAGGTCACAAGCCAACAATGACAGTGTTAATGCTCAATAGAAGTGTACAGTATTAATCACTTGATATCACATAGTAGATGAACTCTAGGCTTCTTCTAATAAAACCAAGTAACTAGTTGTGGATACATGGGTAGAATTCAATTTCTAATACTTACTTCAGGGTCACTTTTTCTGTCATTCTTCATGGTTGTCATTTCTAAGGATTCTGGCTCAACTAGACAGAAAAATTAAACCGGGAAAAATTAATGAGTTCTCTCTTTATTCCCAGACTGTTTCCAGATCCAAATGACACTGACATGTACACTCGCCTAGCTGTGACAGGGAACGCTTGACACGAATACACTAGTATTACATATTAGGTCCCCAAGGCGGCATGAGACCTGTGAAAATTTCAGTAGAACAGACATTCTGTTGAAATGTGTTGGTGACCTTTCCAGCTGCCTCCTAGTCCATCTTGCTGGGGCAGCCCAGTTGAAAAACTCAGAATGCAGCATGCACTTCCTATCTTTTCTGTGTGCCCTCCTTTCCCTTAGTACATAATATGTGCTTGTATGAAAGTACCCTTATAGATAACAAATATACAATGAAAATTTAAATTTCACAATTTTATTCTTTCTCTATGTTACTGGCTTTAATACCTACAGTAGATAACACATATTTCCCAGCTTCAGTGGTTAGTGAGTGAATGTTGAAGAGTTCCTGACAGATTCAAAATACTAAATATGAAATGATTAAATGAGATAACTAATTAAGAACAGGAACCCAAATTACTTTACTGGTATTTGTTTACATGGCCATTGACGATTGGCAGCCTAATATCCTTGACTGTTAAACAGGATATATGTAAATGGATTAAAGAACATGAGAAGTTAGCTATGGAACAGAGTAAAATTTGTATTATAGCAAGATACAGTCAACCCAAAACTGTCCTTCACCACATATATTAGATGACATGCCTGAAATATGAGACATCAAGAAAGGTCTGGAGAGATAGTTTAGTGCTTAGGAGTACTGGAAGCTCTTCCAATCATTCCTCCTCTAGTTGGTTCTGGTCAGTGTTTATTATAATAATAGGAAAAGCACATATAAATGTTGACACTTACATGGACTTTTAAAATAGCCTACCTGGGTATGGCAGGAAAGGTGGGCCAGGAAAGTCCCTTGGATGAAAACGATCTGGAGGACATGCAGGCAGTAAATATGGGCCATTGAAGTGCCTTGGTGTTAAATAACCTGGCGGATCTGCATGCATGTTTCCTGGAGGAGGTGCTGGGAATGGGGGTGGCCTTCTCATAATGGGACTTCTTGGATGCCCTGCAAAGGGAAGGCTTCTGGGGCCTCTATCCTGGGGAACCGGTGAAGAGATGAATCCAGGGCCAGCTGCCTCAAATTCGGCAGGAAGAGGGTTGGGCATAGTTGAGTTCTGTAACAGAGTGATAATCAGCAGTCAGTAAAGTTACTTGATGCCCAGCTGCTTTCCTGGGTGTGTCAGGCATAGAAGAAAGCATGACATTCCACAAAGCCTGGGGACAGGCTCAGTCTCCAGACCAGTGTAGGAGATGCTTATTTGCAATCCTACGTATTTTTACGAATGTAGCAGCAAACTATAAGCATGGTATTAACAGTTTACCTGTCTCTACCTAAAACATAAGTACTGGTCAGGGTCATCAAAACAGACATTTAAAAAATATAAATACCAGGAAGTGGGAGCACAAGCCTTTAATCCCAGTACTCTGGAGGCAGTATGTGGATCTCTGAGGCCAGCCTGCCAATATAGTGAGTTCCAGGCTGGCTACAGAGCTCCTGGGAAACCTATCCCAAAATGAAAAACAAACAAACAAAGAGGTGGACACTTGTATCAAACACAATATACCCACACACACAAAAGGAAAATGGTTAAGATATTGGTATTTTCAAAATGACCAAAGTCAATGCTATACTTTAAAACTAAAATACATTTTAAGAGTCAATGAAAAAAATCTGAAATAGTGTACAGCTAGCATAGAAGGTTTCAAGTCCATGTGAAAGTTTTTTTTTTTTAAGTGTGAGGTATCAGGTTTCTTTCTCTTGTTTTGTTTTTTGTTTTGTTTTTGTTTTTATTGGGGGGGGGGAATTTTTGAGACAGGGTTTCTCTGCATATCTTTGGAGCCTATCCTGGCACTCGCTCTGGAGACCAGGCTGGCCTCGAATTCATAGAGATCTGCCTGCCTCTGCCTCCCGAATGCTGGGGTTAAAGGTGTGCAGCACCAACGCCAGGATCTTTCTCTTGTTTTTTTTATTATTTTTTTATTTCACATGTATTGGTGTTTGCCTGCATGTATGTCTGCATAACATACACATTCAGTGTTCTCTAAGGACAGAATAGAAATTCTAATCCCTTGAACCCTAAGTCAAGAAGGGTTTGTGAGCCTCCACTAATACTGGGAATCAAACCGAGGTCCTCTAGGAGAGCAGCCAGTGCTCTGAACCTGGAAGCCATTTCTCTAGCCTATTTGGTTGGTTGAGATAAGATCTGCTTATATAGCCGACACTACCTTTGAATTCACAATCCTGCCTCAGCCTGACAAAATGCCAGTATTACTTGCATCATCAAAACCTGCTTTTCATCTGTACTATTTCACAGAAGGCTACCAGCCAACAAAGAAAGTGTTAATGCTCAGTAGAAGTATACTTAATAAATAGGTTGATATCACATAGTAGGAGAGCTCTAGCCTTCTAATAAAACCAAGTAATTAGTTGTGGATACATGCGTAGAATTCAATTTCCAATACTTACTCCAGTGTCACTTTTGGAGTCAGTCTTTGTGGAAGTCATTTCTGAGGATTCTGGCTCATCTAGACAGAAATATTAAACCGGAAAAAATCATGAGTTCTCACTTTATTCCCAGACTGTTTCCAGATTCAAATGACACTAACATGTCCTACTGGCCTTTCTGGGACATGGAACAACTTGACACGAATACACTATATTCCATATTAGGGTTCCTAAAGCAGCCTGAGACCTGTGGAAATTTCAGTAGAACAGACATTCTGTTGCAGTGTGCTAGTGACTTTTCCAGCTAGGTCCTAGGCCATCTTGCTGTGGCAGCAGAATTGAACAAGTAGAGATGTAGCATCCACTTCCTGTCTTTTCTATGTGCCCTCCTTTCCCTCAGTACATAATGTATGCTTGTATGAATGTACCCTTATAGATACCTCAACAAATACACAATGAAAATTTAAATTTCAGAATTTTATACTTTCTCTATGTTATTTACTTTAATACCTACAGTAGATGCATGTATTTTCCAGGTTTTTCTGGCTAGTGAGTGATAGTTGAAGAGCTCCTGACAAGATTCAATCTACTAAATATGAAATGATTAAATAAGATACTAATTGATAACAGGAACCAAGAGTATTTTACTGGTATTCTTTTAAATGGCCATTGACAATTGCCTGCTTAATATCCTTGACTGCTAAACAGGATATATGTAAATGGATTAAAGACAATGAGAAGTTATCTATGGAAAACAGCAAAGTTTGTATTATAGTGAGATACAGTCAACCCTTACTCTGGCCCCAAAACTAACCTTGACCACATATATTAGATGACATTCCTGAAACATGAAAGAAAGGGCTGGAGAGATGGTTCAGTGCTTATGAGTACTGACTGCTCTTCCACAGATCCTGTGCTTAATTCTCCACAACCACAAAGCAGCTCACAACCATCTGCAAGTCTACTTTCAAGGGTTCTGATGCCCTGTTCTGTCTTTCTCAGGTATCAGACATTCATGGGATACACAAGAATAAGTGCCATACACATAACAAAAACAAATATAATCTTTTGGAAAAAGTCAATGAGAAATACAAACACGGGAAATTTAGGAAGGTGATTTGGAATTAAGAGCAATCTGGGACAGTAATTAAATTAGCCTCTGGTTCAATTCCCTGTCTTCTAGACTATCTCAACTATTTAATCTCAGAGGCACATATGCTTACATATATACACACCCAGCTGCGCATGCTCACACACACACACACACACACACACACACACACACACACACACACACACACACACACACACACAAAGTTTCTTACTGACTTCAAGCAAAGGAGGCATATTATACTTTGTGTGTTTTTTTGGTCAAGGGAGTCTACCACAGTTAGGATAAAATCTATCTTGCCTTTGTAGAGCAGCTTCAGAATATGTTTGGCCTAGAAATAAATTTTTGAATATCTTCATTAGGATAAACATGAGTCTAGTTTTGTTTTGCTTATTTTGACTTAGACATTTCACCAAAACTAAAAACAAAACCTGTCACCTGTTACTGTTAGGCACTAGTCAATCATTTGAGAGACGGTGGACTTCCTTTGCATTCTCATTCAACAAGCAGTTGTGACACAATTACAGTACATATGTAAATCTACACATGAAATGCTGAAACAAGTCAACTTACCATATGTGAAAGCAGAATTCAGTTAAATTCATTTCACCTTCAAACATAGTATTAGCCCAAGAAAGAAAACCACATCAACATGTCAAAAACAAATGGGGAGGAGGAGCTACAAGGTGAGTAGAAAAAAAAAAACAGAGAAAGAAATACTGCTCTACAGTTGCATTTGTCATCTCGGCAGGCAGTAATCCAGAAAACGTCTTCAGTTCAACAATTTTCACTACCTTCACAACTTGGGAGTGAAGTCACAAGTGAGGAGTCACAGCTTAGATGAAGGACATCTTAGCAAACACAGGTTTGTTCTTAAACATGGGATTGCTTAAATCTAAGGATAGAGTAGGGAAACTGCAAACTTTACTGTTAACTCAATCAGATCTCAAGACATCACATTAGTATTTTGCTTCTAATGTTCATCAAAATATCAGAAACTCATATTCTTTCACATAATATACATATTTTGTCCAGCACTTAGATCCAGGGTCTATCACACAGCAGACACTAAGCAGTAAGTTGATCTCAATATCTTCCAAGCCCTCAGAGTTTCATGCAAATAGAAGAGTAGAGGTGGGGGCAAAGAGCAGACACCTAGGGCAACTAAACTGACTATCGTCTAGAACATGAAAACATGATTTACTGGGTAGAAACTTTGATTCCAATATATAAAGTATGCTGTAAAGTAAATAAAGTGCTTTTATTATAAAATGGCAAGGTATGAAGGAATCTCAATAAATTCAACAAGTAACTAAATATAATCATGTGGGAAATATTATTTATGAGACATATTTCAGAAAACTTTAGTCAGTAATTGTAGGACAAAAATAAAAGAAATTGCTTTAAATGATGGCCACAAATGTAATACACATAATTACAATCTTAAAAATGCTTGAAGCTGGGCTTTGGTGGCACACACCTTAATTCCAACCACTTGGGAAGTAGAGTCAGGTGCAACTGTGTGAGTTCAAGGCTAGCCTGGTCTACTGATTAAGAGTTCCAGGACAGGGAACAAAGTAATATAGATAAACTCTGCCTTGGGAAGATAAAAACAAAACAAAACAAACACACACACAAAAAAAGCTGTTGCTAAATTTATGTAAATTCTGACCTACACAGTTCAGTTAAAATCAAAAGTACCTAAGCCTTGGCTTCCTTTTTACCAGAGCTGTAACCTGTGAGCCATATAAACTCTTTCTTCTCAAGTTAGTTCTGGCCAGTCTTTATCACAGTAATAAGAAAAGCACAGATAAATGTTGACACATACATAGACTTTTAAAAAGCCTACCTGGGTATGGTGGGAGGTGTAGGCCAGGGAAGTCCCTTGGTGGAGGCGGGAAGGGTGGGCCATTGAAGTCCCTTGGTGTAAAATATCCTGGAGGAACTGGATGGATGTTTCCTGGAGGAGGTGGTGGGAATGGGGGTGGCCTACTCTTAACGGGGCTTCTTGAATCCCCTGCAAAGGGAGGACCTGTGGGGACTCTATCTTGGGGGAACGGTGGAGGGATGAAGCCAGGGCCAGCTGCTTCAAATGTAGCAGGAGGAGAGATGGGCACAGTTGACTTCTGTAAGAGAGTGACAATCAGCAATCAGTAAAGCCACTTGATGATCAGCTCCTTTCCTGGGAGTGTCAGGCATAGAAGAAAGCAATCCATGACATTCCAGAAAGCCTGGGAACAGGCTCAATTTCCACACCAGTGGAGGAGATGCTTATTTGTTATTCTAAGTATTTTTACTTACTCAGCAGAAAATTTCAAGCAAGGTAATAATAGTCTACCTGGCTCTCCCTAAATCACAAGTACAGTTCAGACACATCAAAACAGACACTTTAAAAAACAGGTAAACACCAGGCTGTGGGGGCACAAGCCTTTAATCCCAGTTCTCTGGAGGCAGTAGGTGGATCTCTGTCATTTTGAGACAAGCCTGTCAATATAGTGAGTTCCAGGACTGGTTCTAGAGCTACTGGAAAAACCTATCTCAAAGTGAAAAACAAAAAAAAGATGGACACTTGTATCAAACACACAGATACACACACACACACACACACACACACACACACACACACACACACACACACGGAAAATGGTTAAGATATTGATATTTTAAAATGACCAAAAATGAATGCTATATATTTTAAAACTAAAATACATTTTAAGATTCAAATAAAATTTCAATGAAGAAAATCTGAAATAGTGTACAGCTAGCATAGAAAGTTTCAAGTTCATGTAAAAGTTGTTCTTATTTAAGTGGGAGATATCAGGTTTCTTTGTCTTTTTTAAAATATTTTTATTTCACATGTAAGGGTGTCTTGCATCCATATATGTCTGCATACCATATATATTGACTGTTGATAGAATAGTGTGTCAGATCCCTTATACCCGGAGTAACAAAGGGTTGTTGCCACCACTTGGGTACTGGGAATAAAACCCAGGTCGTCTAGGAGAGCAGACGGTGCTCTTAACCTGGAACCCATTTCTCCAGACTACTTGGTTGGTGCAGACAAGATCTGCTTATATATATAGCCCACACTGGGTTTGAATTTACAATCCTCTTGCCTCAGCCTGCCAAAAAGCTAGGATTACATGCAACATCAAAACCTAATTGTCATCTGTACTGTTTCACAGAAGGTTACAAGCCAACAATGACGGTGTTAATGCTAAGTAGAAGTATACTTTATTAATATTTTGATATCACATAGTAGGAGAGCTCTAGCCTTCCTCTAATAAAACCAAGAAACTAGTTGTGGATACATGGGTAGAATTCAATTTCAAATACTTACTCCAGGCTTGCTTTTGGAGTAATTCTTCATGGACACCATTTCTGAGGATTTTGGCTCATCTAGACAGAAATATTAAACAGGAAAAATTCATGAGTTTTCAATTTATTCCTAAACCTTTTCCAGATCCAAATGACACTGACATTGCTGGGACAGGGAACAACTTGACACAAATACACGAGTATTCCATATTAGGGGCCGCAAAGCAGCCTGAGACCTGTGGAAATTACAGTAGA